TCTCCTTTTATAATAAATTCACTCACTCTGCTCCATCCTTTGTCCTCTTTACTGGTATATTTATGAGCCATACCTAACAAATCTCCACCTTGGCGAATATACTGCCCCTTAGGAAACATTCAATGTGAGTTGGGTTACCTTACTTCTTTAACAACTCGAAACATTCAACAAGTCCAAGCAATGCATGAACTTGTCTGTCGTAACTGGCTTGGTGAACATATCAATAGTATTCTCATCAGTATGTACCTTCTGAAACACCCAACTCCTTCACTAAACTAGAAAGCCATAAAGCTTATTTTGTAGCTTCAGCCGCTGCCATGTATTCAGCTTAAGTTGTAGATAATGTCACAATAGATTGAACAATAGAATTCCAACAAATAGGCCCTACACCAAGAGTAAAGACATACCCTATCGTAGATCTTCTATTATCCAAATCACTCACATAGTCTGAATCCACATATCCTACAATCAAAGGATTATCCCGGTGACTACCAAAAACAATTCCATGTCCCACAGTACCCTTTAAGTACCTAAAGATCCACTTGGCTGCTTCCCAATGTTGCTTACCAGATTTAGACATGTACTTACAAACTTGACTAATAGCATGAGCTAAATCAGGACGAGTACATATTATTGCATACATCAACCAGCCAACAATATTAGAATACGAAACCTTTTCCATATCTTCACTTTCTTATCTGTCTTAGGGCACTGTTCTGATGAGAGCTTAAAGTGATTCTCCAATGGAGTGCTCACTGGTTTTGCGCTACTCATCGCAAACCTTTCTAGCATTTCTCAACATAACCCCATTGATAGTCACAGTTTCCTTGAGTCTCTATCCTTGTAAATTTCCATTCCAAGAATTTTCTTTTCAACAACTAAATCTTTCATATAAAATTCCACTCAATAAAGTTTTCATATCGATAACATCATCCATGTTCTTCGCAACATTTAACATATCATCAACATACAGTAACAGAAAAATAAAAGAACCATCATCAAGGCTCTTAACATAGACACAACAATCATACTCACACTGCTTGTAGCCAATCTTTATCATATAAGAGTCAAACCGTTTGTACCATTATCTCGGAGACTGTTTCAACCCGTTCAAAGATTTCTTCAATATGCAAACTAAATGCTCGTTTCCAGGTTGAGTGAAACCTTTAGGCTGCTGCATGTAGATCTGATCCTCTAAATCACCATGCAAAAAATCAGTTTTAACATTCATCTGCTCTAAATGCAAATCTCAACTAGCCACCAATGCAAGTACTGCTCAGATTGAAGTGTGCCTGGCCACAGGAGAAAAAAATTCATCATAATCAACTCCTTTCTGCTGTGAAAAACCCTTTGCTACCAAACGAGCCTTGAACTTCTCCCCCTTATTTTATGTTACTGGTGGTTTCTTATTATACACCCATTTGCAACCAATAGGCTTCTTACCCCTAGGAAGACGAACTAACTCTCATGTGCGATTATGATTCAAAGACTCCATCTCCTCAACCATGGAAGCCATCCACTTGTCGTTTTCCTTACTAGTAACATCATCATGAAAAGTAACCGAATCATCACTGCTAACAGTAAGTGCAAAAGAGATCAAGTCTTTAAAACCCAATCTGTTCGGAGGCTTTATATTCGTCCGTCTCACCCTGTCTATGACAATACTATAATCCTACAAATCAACCGTAGCGGAACCACCAGAAGTTGGTTGAGAAGTTTATGTTTTCTCAACTGAAAACTGCTTGAAATCTACCACTGTCGTGTCTTTCTTCTGCTGCAACATGGGTTGTTCATCAAAAACAACATCTCTACTGATCACAATTTTCTTCACAACTGAATCTCAAAACTTGAATCCTTTGACACCTGTCTTGTAACCCAAAAAAATGCACTCATTTGATTTTGCATCAAGTTTGGATCTCTCATCAGCAAGTACATGCACATAAGCAGGACAACCAAAAATCCGTAAGTGATCAAAAGTAACATCGTGACCAGTCCATACCTCTTCTGTAACTTTCCCAGCCAATGATGCCCTTGGTGATCAATTGATAAGATAACACGCCATGTTAACAGCCTCAGCCTAGAAGTGTTTGGGAAACCCCGCATTTAACCGCAAACATCTGGCTCTTTTATTCAATGACCTATTCATCCGTTCCGCAACACCATTCTTGTTGTGGTATCTTACGCACTGTAAAATGTCTCTTAATCCCATGCTCCTTGCAGAAGTTTAGAAACTATGAATCTGTGTACTCCGTACCATTTTCAGACCGCAAACACTTGATTTTTCGTCCTGTTTGGTTTTCTACCTCATCATTCCACTAAAACTGTCATACTTCTGTTTCAAAAAATACACCCAAACTTTCTGTGAAAAATCATCAATAAAAGTAACATAATAACAAGATCCACCCAAAGACGATGTCGAGGAAGGCCCCCATACATCATAATTCACGTAATCAAGAATCCCTTCAATTGTGTGCTTTCCAGTCTTGAAACGAACTTTAGTTTATTTACCAAGAACACAATACTTGCAAAAATCGAGCTTACAGTTTTTAACACCATGCAACAAATTTCTTTTATGTAATTCAGCCGTACCATGTTCACTAAGATGAGCAAGACACATATGCCACAGGTTGGTAGTATCATCACAAGACTCAACAGAATAAACTCCACCTACAACGGTACTCCCTAACAATCTGTAAATATTCCCTGCAGTCATCTTTCCATTCATCACAGTCAAAGCTCCTTTAACAATCCGAATGGTTTCCCTATCCTTATCAGCCTTAGGGATAAAACCATTCTTTTGCAAAGTGCCCATAGAAATTAAATTCTTCTTCAAATATGGGATATGTCGAACACCACACAACGTCCGAACAAAACCATCATACATCTAAATTCTGAAATCACCAATAACAACAATATTGCACCATCGATCATCACCCAAATAAACAAAACCAGAATTAACCAACCTGTATGTTGAAAACCATTCCCTATTTGGCGTGATGTGATAAGAACATCCAGAATCAAGAATCCAAGCATCCGTCAATTGAGTCATTGAAATAGAGAGCATATCACTCTCACTGCAATCAGAATTGTCATCCTCGACCATATTCACGGACTTGGATAATTCATCACACTTCTCATCAGTCTGCTTTTTTAACTTCGGACAGTCTCGCTTCATATGTCTCGCCTCATTGCACTTGTAACAGTGAATTGTCTTCTTATCCCTAGATTTGGATCTGAAAGTCCGCTTCCCAGACCTTGCCTTCTCTGGCTTCCATCCACGATCTCGGTTACCCTTGACATATAAGCTAATCAGCTTGAGAGCTTTCCCCTGTATTATGTTTCCATTGGTTGTCAGCCAACAAGGCTGCAGTAATCTCCTTAACTTTGATAGTCTCTTTCCTATATGTAAGAGTAGTCACCATGTGTTCGTAAGAGGGAGGCAATGAATACAACAGAATCATCGCTTTGTCTTCATCCTCAATTTTCATATCAAGTCGAGCCAAATCAGAAACGCTTTGATTGAAGACATTCACGTGTTGTGCCAAATCATGATAATCCTGCATCTTCAGCCCTTACAACTGCTGCTTTAGATACAATTTAGTCATTAAGGATTTGGACATAAATTGACTTTCCAACTTCTACCAAATTTCATCTAGAGACGACAGATGCATGACGTGATACATGACCTCGTCCGCCAAACATAATCATTTGGTTCCTGCCGCTCGCTGCTATAATTCTTCCCAATCTTCCCCCTCCATCGATGTCGGCTTTGTAGGTCGCAAAGCCTTTAGGATCCCTTTCTATGCCAACAGATCCTTCACCCTTGTTTGCCATAATCCGAAGTTACCCTGACCATCGAATTGTTGAATAATTGGGTAAAGAAAAATGAAAAGAACACAAGAATTTTAACAAGGTTCAACAATGTACTCACTCCGCTCCACCCTCTGTCCTCTTTACCGGTATATTTATGAGCCATACCTAATAAAATCATAATTATTTTTAAATTTAATTATTTATAAAAAATAATTTAAAAAATAATTATAACAATTATATCATTTGATATTAAATTTGAGTGTTCTTAATGGCTTCTTAAAGTGCTTATTTTGTTTTTTTTGGTATCTTTTTCTTTAATTTAAAGAAAAAATAAAAGTTTGTATGTCTTTATTCTTTCTTCTCAAGAGACATCTACTTGTAATAATAGACCACTTTCTTGCTCAAAAAGAAAAAAAAATAAAAAAATAAAAACAAAAGATAAAGTAATTGAAGGGATTTTGAGTCCAAAATGTATATATCATAACTACATTATGCAAAGAGACTACACAAACAATTTCAGAACTTTTTCACTTTGGGAGCACCTTGGATGAAGTTTATGAAATTGCTTCGCAAATTTTTATATTTTGCCTTTTTCTTTCGTTCTTAATTGTAGATTTAATTTTTCTAACCCTTTTTATTGATTATTATACACTTTCTGAATCCTTGTATTAGTAGGATAGAAAAAGTTACATACCTTTCTTTCCCCTTGTAACTAAATTCAAGGCATAATGATAAAAAAACACGTTTAATGTTTGACAAATAGTCACTTTATCCTATATTCTTTTTCGGAGCACTTTAACCCTAAATATTTTTATTTTGGAGGAAAAAACATTCTCTGTGGATGGAAATCATTATTCAACTCATGATCACTGCCTAAGATGATGTGACAAACCTATATAGCATTGCACGTTGACATGGTAGTGCCACATATATAAAGGTGTTAATGTGGTAAAATGACACGTTGTCAAAAAATGTTTTTTTAAAATTAATTTTATATATTTTTATTTAATAATATTCATCCAATGAGATAATCATATGTGTTATTGTTTCATTGGTTTAAATTTAGTATAGCAAAATGTCATTGATAAAACTTGAACTTGGCCATTGAGGAAAGTCAAATCTAATACTTTATTCTTTTATGGAAGAAATAATATTTAGTATATACATTTTGTCTCTCAAACATTTTGCTAAACACGTTCTTCGTATTTCTTTTCTCCTTGTGTTAGAATAAAGAAAGAGGGTTCTTGTCTCTTATACATCTCTGGGTGAGAAAAGAAGTCAACATCATCACGAGAAGTGAACGGGAGAAATGCCCCTGAGCTCCCCATTACCATTCCATTAAGAATGCACTTTCTACCACTAGATACATCAGATGGCTTATGCAAGCTAGTTATCACATCTCCGATATAGAAATGGACTATCTTCTCTACCTTGTTGGGAGCTCCATTAAGCCTCCCTTGTTCCCATTTTATCTTTCCACTAGTTGGATCTTCATCAATTTTATCTGACACATTTTGTGTTAGCCACACAAAATAGACATTCCCAAACTTCTCTATGCCAACCATGGTGTCAAAATATATAGGGTATGATGTAGTAAGACATTTTGGAACAACATCATCAATAAATATATACAGTTGATTTTCATCCCTTTTTACTTGCAAAATTGAAACGATTGCAATAAAGGAAAATATTTAATATTAGTATGCGAATAATTGACAAAGGGAGAGAAAAGGGATGCAAAACAGAGGAATTCATAGAATCAAAGTAAACTATAGTTTAATAACCAAGACAACAATAAAAAAAATCCTGCAAACCTACCTTACCTTCAATCATAATTGTTTATCAATTTTACAAAATCCATATAAAGTCAAACATACGAGTAATAAAAATAAAATTCTTAAGAAAAGAGAAAAAGATATGATAATTAAGAAAAAAAATAAAAAAACTTATCTCTTAGATGTCCCCAACATGCATTATATCCTGATAATTTTGGATAGAGGCAATAGTGTTAGAGAAACACTTATTCTCACATTTCCTAAGCAGTTTCTTTTTCCCCGAATCATATAATCGGAGTACATATCTTATCTCAACAAGTAGTTTGCCCTGAAACTGGCATAAAGAAAAATGAACACCTTCCACTTGTGCTTTGTGCATAAGTTCGAGTGATATGACCTGTTAGATCACATCAAATCTAAAAAAAAAGTCAAAATAACTATTTTATCAAACGTCATGGGTGGTTATTGTTATTATGTCTGAATTCAATTGGTGTAATTCTTCTCTTGGACTCTTAGTACATCTAGGGGTCTTTGTTAGGGTGATATCCATCGACAACTTATCGTTGAGCATGAAGAAGACAATTTAAAGATAGAAGATTGGTTTACTTACCCCTTAAAGTATATACTTCTTTGGAGCGACTTTGTGGGGGTTTTTTCTTTCTTTCTTTCTTTCTTTCTTTTCACTTTAAAATTTTCTTTTGAGTGTTGTGTTATTCAGGATGTCTTATGCTATGCATAGAGAGAAACCAAAAATTAATCTTATGAACATGGCTGGCAAAGAAGACATAACAAATGTTATCATAACAAAGTTTGATGGATTTAATCACACCTTCTCGATCTCGACACATAACTAAAAAAATTTATCTTAAACTCAACTCAAGTGAACGAAAAATTGAAACAACGGTCATCTACTAAAGAAATTAATAAAAAAGTTGACATTTATGATGAACAACCTTGACAACATCTTACTTGTATGACAAAACCGAAATTCAACATTCTCCAATTCAAACGCAAGCGTAATGAAGACACTATTGTGATCGGGAAACAAACTTGATCTCATGTTCACTTGCTACAAGTATTTTGAGGAAGAAAATCTATCCTTAGCTAAACTTAAATTTACTAGTTATTCTTTGAGTTAGTGGATGCAGTTTTTGTGAAGCCAATGATGCAACCATAAATGACGGATTGATTCGTAAGATGAGTTGAAGCGAATTACGTGAAAAAAGGTATATCCCCACTCAATACTACTTGGACAACAAGAGGAACCTTTATGATATTAATGATGATTTAATTGGACAACCTCCACGATGCCATACTCATCTTAGATATAATGTTGAAGATGACTCAATTGAACAACCTCGATGATGTCATGTTCATGATCAACATGATTCTCGTCTTCATGAGTCTTATAGTAACGAATTGGCTTATCCATATCATTACATTTAGAATGAGATATGATTCAAACCCAATCGTTGCTTATAACTTATTGAAAGTCATTTTATAAGTGAAATTTTTACCACAATAATGACATTTAACTTATACGAACTAGTAAAATTATGTACGTTACTATTCATGAAAAACTTTTAATTTTAAAGTCATATTATAAATGACTTATCGATAAACCCAATCGTTACAATAATGACTTTTAATTTTTATCAAATTACCTCGATAAACCACTTCATGATGAAAAGTTTTGTGACAATATCGATAAACAATGAAGAGTTCGATGATAGTGAACATGATAAAAATATTTTTACTGAAAGTTTTTCCCTAGAGTTAAGTTTAAATCAACCAAAATCACTTTCCTTCCCTACAAAATTATCCCTTTATTACTAAGTTCAGTTTAAGAAGACAACACTTTCTTTTATCACTAAGACAAGTGAATGAGTGTATATCTATTAATTGTTAATTGGATTAATGGAATAAAATAATATATCTCCTTAATAAATATATAAAATTTGAATAGTTGAGAAAAAGAAGATTTATAATATGTTCATACAATAAATAATATAAATTAATTAATTAATAAATTAAATATAAATAGTTACAAAAATATCACATGCCTCTAATTCAATAATTTTATTTTATTAGATATGTATTTTTTTGACCTATTTCAATTACCACTTTTACTTTCATTTCTATTATTTAATTAACATCTTGTTTATATTAAATGTATAATAGTCAATTGTGATAGTCATCTTCAATCTACTTAGATGTAGTTATACGATCATGCTTGAGGTGTCATTTATTTTATAATTTTCTTATAATTCAATAATAATCCCTATAAAAACCTCAATACATTCATGCACCCATTACTCTGTTATTTTTTTCGGAAGTCATTATTTTTCTTATTTAGTTCATGCGTTGCCAATCGTATCAATATATATAATAATCTTATTATCCGAATTTTTAAGTTAGTAACTCGCGGGTTATATTGTATTTATAATTTCAAAATGTAATATATTGTTTGAATTATATTTTTTATACCGAATAAAGAAGACACTCAATTGGGAAAAGGGAATTGTCTCATCTGTTAACCAACACTAATTTTTAACTTCCCAAAAATTTATTAAAAAAAAAGGAAAATGAAAATGAAAATTCAAAACTGAGTCCACTCGGTCAGTGCACCAACAACTCGTTCTTCCAACAATTTCATCACCCCTTTCTGTAACCGTTCATGTCCTGAAACAATCATCCACGTGTAAGGTCTTGATTTTTCCACCACCTCAAATAAAATCTATTCTCGGTCTTCCCCACCTGAGTTTGCAATTACACCCATCTTTTTATTATATATTTTAATTTTTTTAACTTCAGCACCACACCTTTTTATACAATGTACAAAGTTAAAAACATTAGAACAAAATTATAAATGAAATTCAAAATGACATAATAATCTTTTGGCGCTTCAACTTTATTAATTAATTGTTTTAACAATTAAAATTTTGTCATATTTTTTTAACTTTGATTTTTTTTTTATGAAATTGACCCATACGTGGCGGAATTAGTGAAATATTTTACCGGGCCGATTATTTAGCCCAATAAGCCAACTCCATTTATTTTGGGATTTACTACAAAAGTTATAGTGTAGTTGGAACTCGACACGTCGAAGTGACGAGTTCCGTGGGATATAATTTTTTAATGGGACATGGGAAGTGGGTCTCTGGGACCAAATATATTTAATATATTTTTCAGTCATTAAAAAATATATTTTTGGATTTTTAAAAACCATCATATAAAAAATATATTATTTTAATGGACAAGGAAGTTGTCACCTCGACGTGATGAATTCTAACATGTCAAAAATATGAAGTTTTCGACCGTTAGGGTAACTGTTGGTTAACATGCAATTTTTTTAAAAATCCAATGGAACTCGTCACACAACAACTATTTTCAATTTGAAAAAACTAGTCGTTTATTTAAATAGAGTAGTATAAATAGAGGTTTGAGTTGGATTGATTTTTCACTTGAAATCAAACATTCTATTGAGAGTAAAAACTTTTTTGTTGAAGATTTTGTGTTGAAATGGCCTTAAGAGAAGAAATGTTACGTCTTGATGATGTTCATATTTCGTTGACCGAGCTAACTACGGTAAATTTAATTTTTTTTATTTTATTTTACTTTTGAAAAATTATAGTATTAATAATAATTGTTTATATAATTTTATTAATTAATTAATTTTCAATTTGTAACAAGAAGAACAAGGCCTTCATCATCGAGGAATGAGGAATAAAGAGCCACATCAGTAGATTATCATATATCTTCAACAATCCGTATTATATCCAGCGACGTTTGTGTAACAACCCAGAAAAAAAAATTATTAATTAGTAATTGGGCGAAATTTGGTGACTAAATTAAAAGTTTTAAAATTTTGTAGGTCATATTAGAAGTGAAGGAAATTCAGGGACCAAGCCCTGAATTACTCATTTTAGTGTCGGCAGGAAATTTGATATATACGTGAATGATTTTCTGTTTTCAAAACAGAAAACAATTGTGAAATTTCCTCCTCCCGCACTCTACTTCAAAGCCCGATTTCGACGCCGTCCGACCTCTGATCGTCAAATTGAAACCACCATCGTGTTCATCTTCGACCTGTGATCAAAACCCAATAAACCAATTTTAGCGAAACGCTGTCAAACGCCGTGAATTTCGAGTCAAAGTATCGACGTTTTTTTAGCACCACCGTCGGGAAAATCTTAAATTCATCTTCGATCGTTGATCGGTTTTCGACACCTCCTGCACCATCGTGTTCCTGGTGTCGTTCCGAGTCCGACGGTGTCGTCCTTGTCTCCGTAGGCGACGGCGCGTGTGGGAGGTGGAGCGGTCAAAGATTCGGCCGAGTTGAAATCGAGCTCTCCACCATTCAAAAACTTGAACCGAGGTTGGTAAGTGTCTCAAAATCGCTTAAAAGAATTTTTGGAAATTTTTGCATGAATTTTTGGAGGCCAGAGGCGGTCTCACGTGCCCCCACGCGCTGCCCCTACGCGTGGGGAAGATTCGAACTGCAGTTTAATTGGTTGACCGGCTTAGTCGGTCCAAACCGGTCTGACCGGTCCGAACCGGGTTGACCGATCTGACCTAGCCCGTTAACCGACCCGACCCGTTGACCAGACCCGACCCAGTGATATTTTGGGAATTATTGTGAAAAATGTGACATTCTTGAAATTATTTTAAAAAATGTGACATTCTGGGAATTTTTTTTGAAAAATATGACATTTCGGGAATTTTTGTGAAAAGTGACATTCTGGGAATTATTTTGAAAAAAGTGACATTTTGGTAATTTTCGAATATGG